AGTAGTTAGTAGTTAGTAGTACTAGTAGTAGTAGTAGCAGCAGCAGTAGTAGTAGTAGTAGCAGCAGCAGCAGCAGGAGTAGTAGTAGTAGTAGTAGTAGTAGTAGTAGTTAGTAGAGTGGCAGGGGCAATGGCCGTCCTTGTCGTGGTAGTCGAAGTCGTCGTCGTAGTAGTATCAGTCGTCGTAGCAGCGGTGTAGTCCGGTGTAGTTCCAGACAAAACCCGTAGTACAGTACTGAATTAGCAGAATTTTGGTGACACTAGGTATGGTAATTGTGTGATGCAATCAAAGACAAAGACACGGAATGCCTCTTGCGACACACACAGCCCTCCTCTAGTCAGGATGGGGTACATGCAGCCCAATGACGGTTGGATTACGGACCTCCTGCGCGCAGCTATGCTCAAAAGACGAGGAGAGCTGAGAGGACCGGGAAGCCCTCAGCAGACTCGGATGAGGGCCTGGGCCTGCTGGGGTAGGAAGTCAGGAAGCAAGAACTAGGCAAGACACTCAGGAGCAGCGGGACGGTGACAAAATTATGCTTAATAAACCTCGAGTCTGAAGTCTGAAGTCTTGCATACAAGGTTATCGGGCGAACAGAAGTCCGTCAGCTCGGAAGCAAATTGGGACAGTGAGGCCATCACGAGCTTCAACACCGTCCAAGTCAATGAGTTCCTATCGCTAGTGCATGGATATGCCAGGGGCTGAGCTGCTGGGGCGAGTCCTGTTGAACCTGCAGCCGGGATGATCTGATTTGTCTGACTCTCCGCTCTGCGCGGTGTAATTACAAGCAGGCGGGACAAGTACAGAATCGATGGTGCAGCATCCTCCACATAAGAATGAACGAGCCTTACGGCTGAGCTCGTTCCTAACATCCTCTAGGCGCAGCGGCATCATGATCAACGTGCCGCAACCTTCGCCAAGTACGAGGTAGGGCTCCTCGGGTGCTAGGGTCCTCTCGAAGCTCTGAGAGAGCGCAGCCTGCGGTACCGTGCTGGATATTGGGGAGATTGCCTCCACATTGTACCAAGTAATTGCCTTCACCTCCTATCGATTGGTGGTGTCGAGAGGTTTGATTCTAAAGGCCGTCGTAGCGAGGCTACTGCCGCCGAACGGCACTGATCACAGGACTTCGCGTCCAACACCGGCTGAGGGAATTCACCCAAATCATTGTAGACTGATGCCGTTTTCGAAGAGACCCCATTTTCAATTGCCCTGAGGATGGTCACGGGCACATGAGCCGCGCGGGGCTGCAGAAGGCACGAACGATAGAAACAGATCGCTTTCCAAGCTTCCGCAAGTCATGATTCTACTGAATCCTAGAGTTCTAGAGATGGACGAGACAATTAGTAGGGCTCACTTTGCATGGAGACCCAGGGGCTCTCTCATTGATCTGATCCACATGTTCGGCCCGGTTGGAGCAACGTTCATGCCGTCTGTGTTTGTCAGCTTTCGGCGATTCTGGAACGCTTGCCTGCCGCGAGCAGCACTTAGACTTAGAGTATTCGATGCCGTAGAAACGTCACAGTGCAGGCCAGTCGAGACTTCGGCATCGAGCTTCTGTGCCCTCGCCTGACTTTGGCAAACGTTATCAAACCTTTAGTTTTCTGCATTGGACATCAATAGCATGCATCGGAGTCTTGCACTCACATTTCGCAGCAGCAGTTGGTCAGCGACCAGCCCACCATTGGTGATGTTACACACGGTATGTAGTATCCTGCTTGCAGCCTGACCCAGAAGCATGTTTCGCCGGCTTTACGCTTTTGTTTGCCAAAATCACTGAGGCCTTACGTGGTTGAAGAGGTGTTGGCCGAGGTGAGTCAGGCCAGGCATTCGGAGTTCCAGCCTCATCCCTCCGTTCCTCGTTCTTCTGGGCAGATCTGTGGCATGTTTTGCGGCGAACCGTTCTTGCTCAAGACGGATGACGGAAGCACTTCCGTAGATTTTTCCCCACGCCGTCGTCGATGCCATGCCTGCCACTCTTCCCGGACAGATGGTTGTGACTGACGCCTCACAGGATGTCGCGGATTTCCATGTGGCCGTGCCGAAGCGCCCGGCTCCTGTTATAACATCCTTGTCAGAGGTGGACATCAAGCTGGATAATCTTGCCGAGAAGCTGGACGTTTGTATCAAGGAGTTGTCAAACTTAAGGTTTGCGCAGAGACCTCGCGAGGTGGATTCAGGGCACCTCAAAGCGCCGGAGGCGAGCAATACCCAGCTTACCCCCCGAAGCCAGGTCAGCTCCGTTCGGATGGTTGCCGACGATGTAAGATTGCCCATTTCGGCGAACATGCCACGGTTGAACAGCACAGATGACTCTGAAGTGGAATCCTTCACCCAATCATTCTCCATGGCTCCGATGGCACCAATGGAAGGCGTAAAGCGGGCAGCAGCATCTCGCACTAGGCCGCGCCGTGTTGCTGCTACTCTTCAGACAGCGTGGCAAGCTCACGCGAAGTCAATCTCTGGTGGTGCCGGGGACATGGAGCCAATTATGCGTTTGGTTTACCGGAGCAGGACGGAGCATGTCTGGGAGTTTCTAGATGATCCGTAGTCCAGCATCTGGGCTTGGTGGACCTGGTCACTTTTGAGAGTCTTGGTTCTGCTGTCCGTATGCACACCATATCTGCAGGAGAAGCAGCCGGTGTTGACTTTGGTTCTGGACATTTGCTTTGATACTGTCTTCATGGTAGAATTTCTCAGCCGGCTGGTATCTACACCATCTAAGCGGACCTATCTCAAGGATCCGTTAAATTGGGCAGACATCGTGTCTGCACTGGGGCTTCCGCTTCGAGCGGTGACTGGCTTTGCCGTACTGGCACATCCTCCATCTACAGCGCTTGAGATTGTCCTGGTGTTTTTCTTGCCCCTTGTTCGATTGCTGAAGCTACTCCGATATTTCGAGTCGTTCAGGCTTCTTCTGGATGCATGCAAAAACTCCATGGAGGCCGTACCGTTCTTAGCCTACATGGCGGCAGTCATCACCCTGTCATCGGCGACCGTCATCTATTTGGTGGAACCCAGAAGCCGGATACCAAGCATGCCACATTCTGTTTGGCTTGCCCTTGTAACCATGACAACGGTCGGCTATGGGGATTTCTTCCCGGTGACTTTTTGGGGATACGTTACGGTATCTGTGCTGACGTGCGCCAGTGTGCTGTTTTTGGCTTTGCCGGTTCCCTTGGCATTATATATTGACAAGTCTTTACCTTTTTTTTGTGGGTGGTAGAAGCCCTAAGCCGAAGCCCTGAACGAATAGGATTTGGTCAGACTGAGCTTGGGTGCCGGGAGGTTGGGATCATCGGAAACGAGTTCTGGAACGTGTGGGAAAGTCGGAACGAAGTGCTGCTGGTGACGCGCGTCCGTCGTGCGCTGCACAAGTGGGGCTATGCCGCCAAAGACGTGAAAATACTGTTTCAATATGTGGCGATTCGGCTTAATCGATCAGGCATCCGCATTAGGCAGCACTAGCACGACTTAGACCTTGCTGCTTCTTCTTGCGCTTTTCTCCACACTATGTAGATCTATGTAGTGCTATGTAGATCTATGTAGTGCACCTAACCCTCCGGATCAGGATCAGGATGGGGACGGCACGCTGGACCTGGCTGAGTTTTTGGAGCTTGTGCGGCAGATGCGTGTCCTGGTGTGAGCTTGGGGCGTTTATGGTTTCGATTGGCATGTTATGAAACAGTGAAAGCATTATGGAACACTGTTCGGATGCTTACTAGGTCCCTGAGTGGTACCCTTTTGCCCTTTTTATTTCAGGGGCCCCTCACTAAAACCGAATAGTAGGAAAAAGGGTACCTTTATTATAAAGAGGCTACTTATGAACCAAGCTTAAAGGGCCGACCCAGGTATTGGCATAAGTGCAGAAAATGCGTTCAAGATTTTCACGATCTTCGACGATGACAGCAGCGGGACGATTGATTGTGCCGAATTTTTACGTCACATTTTCCCTGAGGAGTATGTCGAAAAGCAGCAGGAGCAGTCCCAATCCCTGCGAAAGTCCCAAGCCCATGTCAGTCTCGCACTCCACCAGTTGGAGACCATGCACGCTGAGAAGTCTTGATGATCGATGCCACTTGTCACAGGCGAGTCATTTTTTCGCACGCGCAGTGGATCATATCTCACTGCTTGTGTTTAGATCTGTCTTGCAAAGTGGTCTTGGAGTCAAACATGCTCAGCTTCCATTATGGATGCTTCGTTCGAAATCATGGTGCGAGATCGTTAGTCAATGAGTCATGCTTGATCTTGTATGTGACTACCCCAATGGGCAGCTCCAATACTTATTGAGTCAAACAGTTCATGTCACACGCAGATGAAGCGGCGGCGTTGACCGCTCAGTCTGTACAGCATCACCTCATTCTTCTCATAGAGCGCTGTGAGCCGCGCCTGTCAAACAGGCAACGGTCATTCCGCAAAAATGGTAAGAATAATACTGAATAGGATAGAAGTGGTCATTGTCATGTTTACATTGATTAACACAACAGATGGTCTTTTCACACCATTCAGTACTACTCTAATTATGATATAATTATGATACTGCCGATAGTAGTGCTACAGAGGTCGAGGCGGGCATCGGCAGCCCTGGAGCCCTCTCAGAACTTCGTCGGAGAAAGAGCGGTGATTTGCCTTTACAGTGGGTGCGCTTTGCAGCACTATTGTTGTAGGCCTTTCCGTCACCTCCAGTATGGTATGTTATTGTACCTGGCCTCTGAACAAACCCTGTGTCGCTATGTAGACACGGAGCAATTCAGAACCTGACCTAGGTAAATGGGCTTCTGCGGGCAACTGTCTTGCAACTTGCGATGCCACTTGGACACTGGCAAAGACAGAGATGTTGTTGCTGTCGGCCCAAGCGAGATTTTTCAGGTAGGTTCTGCTCTTCGACGCCTTGCTTCCATTGGCGGGCCAGGGAAATGTCGATCCCTGGCCAAGTCGAAGAAATTCCAGCGGTCACCTCCAAAGATGAAGGTTCCGGAGCTTCGAAGAATGCCATGGCAGGCGTCGAGACTCGACTGGATCGGCTCTCGGATCAGATGGAGCTCTGCATCACCGAAATCATGAATCTAAGAATTGCGGGGCAAATGCTTCCTTCACTTTCTGGAACAAGACGGGTGTACCGAGCACCCTCGAAGCCCAAGGGCGATGGCTATTTGCCGGTGATCCCCTCCAATGCTCCCCTGCTCTCAGAGAACGGGGGTCCTGAAGGCTCTTTCTCTCCTCCGGCTCTCCCGGAAGCTCTTCCGCCTTCCGATTCCTTGAGAGACTCTCGCCGGAGCAATAACACCATGATCAGAATGGCCACAAGTGGCAGCCTGGACGGACCCCATTCATATCGCAGCTTCCGTGACATGCGGGATGTTTCAGCCAATTCAGCCAGTGAGCCTGATTTGGGCTCGGAGGAGGAGGATAGGGCCGTGGAAACCCGAAGACGGGTTCAGCAGGCCCGAAGTGTAGATCTGAAGGTTGCCTGGCGGATGCATGGGAAGCAGATGCGCCAGCATTTTCCAGACGATGACACGCAGCCCTTGATGCGCCTCGTCTATCGCAGCCGCGCCGATTATGTATGGGAGTTGCTTGATGATGCGAACTCGAGCGCGACGGCATGGTGGATATCCACATTTCTGAAGCTGTTGGTTGTATCCTCTCTTTTCGTCACAAACTTGCAGACGAGCGAGGGAATTTGCATGAATCCAGTCCTTGCAGCTGCCATAGAAACAAGCTTCGACATCATCTTCCTCATGGAGTTCGCATGCAGGCTTCTGTCGGCACCATCGAAGAAAACTTACCTGGCAGATCTCCTGAACTGGCCTGACATGCTGTCTGCGACAGGGTTGCCACTGCGTGCGAGCATTGGCTTGGTGCTCAGCAGTTCCCACCCGTGGCAGCCGGCTTCTAGCATATGCACCGCCGCTTTATCCACTTCATTGTCCAGTGAAGAAGCAATCATTCAAGGCCTTCTTCTATTTGGCCTCCCTCTTGTGCGCTTCCTGAAGCTGCTGAGATACTTCGAGTCCTTCCGGCTTCTGATCGATGCATGTAGAAACTCAGCCGAGTCATTGCCAGTTCTTACATACATGATGACTGTCATAACACTCTTCTCGGCCACAGCGATATATTTGGTAGAGCCGAGAGACAACATCCCGACCATGCAGCACTCCTTGTGGCTGGCCATCGTAACAATGACCACAGTGGGCTATGGTGACTTCTATCCAGTTTCTCTTGGGGGCTATGTGTCTGTTTCGGTGCTCACTTTCGTGAGTGTCCTTTTCTTGGCCTTGCCAGTTGGCATTATAGGGTACGAGTTTACCACTTCCTGGCAAAATCGCGACAAAGTTCTTCTCCTCACACGTATCCGCAAAGGTCTGCGCAAGTGGGGCTACAGCGCGAAAGACCTGAAGATCTTGTTTAAGTACGTTGATGCCGATGAAGATGGCAGCTTGAACATAGCTGAGTTTATGGAGCTTGTGCGGCAGATGAGGGTGGGAATCACTGCAGACAGTGCTCTTCACATCTTTGAGCTTTTTGACGACGACTCCAGCGGAACCATTAACTATGCCGAATTCTTGCGCCATGTGTATCCGGAGGATTATGTAAGGGATCAGCAAAAGAGTCGCGGAAGCCTCGATGCGAGCAGGGGAAAGGCTCAGGAGGCCTTAGAGCACCTGGAAATGCTTCGCATCAAGTCCTCTGAGGACGCTTCCGTTGACTCGCTTCAAGAGCTTCAAGAGGGCTGATCTTTCGGCGTCCACACATGTGCGGCCCAAATGAGACCAGAATCTGTTTGGATCTGGGCAATGTTCAATCTCTCATATTACGTACTTCCAGGGCAGCTGGGAGTGTCAACTCACAGGCGGGTTCATCGATTGGGCTTGTGAGCACTCCGTCAGATTGTCAGCCTGCCATCGCCGACTGCAGCTTTTGAGACTGCTTCGGTTTTGCGTTTCGACACCACCAAACAATGTTTAACAGACATGACATGCCCAGAGATAGCTGACCTTCGCAGTTGATGGGACGCCTGGACGAAGCATTAAATCATTAAGCGCAAAGGCATGCAAAGGCATTGGCCAAGAAACGATGAGCAATGCCAGTGATTCGGACAAAACCTGCCGGCAATCATGACGTCAAATCAAGTGATAAAAGCCGTGTGGAGATGTTTGTGACGTCCAGGAACATGTTGCTTGTTGTACGTGAAGTGCAAGGGCAGTGCCACATTTTTTGCAGGAGCCCAAGCCATATCCTACGTGGTGAATGCAATTGCGTGTGTGGGTTTAAGTATGTCAGTATATCACAGAAAATAGCCATAGAAACAGATGAGGGGTTCTTTATGTCCCGGCGCCAGCAATCCTTGGCGTTGTAAATGCTCGCTGCGCATCATTGGGTCGACAAGCACTCGATGGTGCCGCTGCCACTACGATGTTGCGGCTCATCTAAACTCATGGTCGTCGCTCCGTTTGCTCACTGCTTGGGCTGACCAAAGCGCAACTTCGCAATGTATGACGTAAATCAAAGCGCTCCAAGCAGCTGACAGAATGCACATCTTCCACTGTATCACACCTCATTTGTAGCCTGCCATACAGCCCAGGTTTGGTAGAACTCACAAATAACCCTCTGAACAGAGCTGGTTTGGATCATAGGTTAGAGTATCTGGTTCCAGTGATTTCCAGCTGGGTCCTGAAGGTCAGACACGAGGAAATCAGATGTGTTCATTGGTATATTCGTGGGAAGAGTTTCATGGTCCATTGGTCCATCATCGGGGCTTGTATCAGGCAGACCCTCATCGAAGTATTGCTTGTGGCCGGCTGGTTCAGAGACTTGCTGTCGAAGACACTAGTCATATCTGACAGTGGCCTCTAAAGACTCAGCGCAGCAGGAAAACGGCTAAAGGATTCTGAAGCGTTTAAGTTGGGTTCGGCGCCATCCTTCGTCAGACTCAAGCGTGGCAACCGATCCTCCGCCAGGGCTTTGCAGACCGCGACTTGTTGGACCTCCCTCGGTTCGAGAAAGCGATGAATCTCATCCTTGGTCGTGAGGGGTTGCTCGGCCAAAGCATGTTCCAGCAACAACGTTCCGAACAAATTGCTGCAAAGACCAACGGTTAGACACGGTCAGACATATTGCGAGGCAGCAATCAGATCAGAGAGCACGCATGCCCCAACAAAGATTTCCGTGGATGCCGATTATGAAAATCACGACCTTGCATCTACTCTAGCACCGTAGGACCACCTTCCAGTGGCATCGACGTTCCGTGCAGAGAGTTGAGAGTTGAGGTTCTCCAGGCAAGAGCATGACGAGTTCGCCAAACTGTTCCTCATGCACGACAGGGACGGCTCAGGCTGCAGGGCTTGTCGTGCGATCTAGCCTAATGAAGGCATGGCGATTGCAAACGAGAGCTAAAAGAGAAAGCCAACCTTCAGCGGAAATTCTGTCTTGACCTGGTTTGCTGGGTCATTGATCACATCATCGTCGCTCGCCCCATCAGCATGCACTCCGAGAGAGCTGAAGAAGTTAAGCTTCGGGGCTTCCTGGAGGGGTATCTGACGGCAGAAGTGCTTCATTTTAAGCTACCAGGAGGCCATGCCAGATGCCGTCTGTAGCAGGTGAAATCGACAGCTCCGCGCTGATGGTGATGCTGCAGTGGCTGGGATTCTCAAGCTGCGTCTCTCGCGCCCCGCAGTTGCTGAAGCAGGACCTTGGGAGGGAAGAAGCGAGAGGACAGGACAGCTCACGCATCTCCTACTCGTACCGCCCTTTCGGAAGGACTGCCATGCTTGACTAGATAGACTCGAGATCCGATTTCAGGGTGGTGTGATGTTACCGTTCGCTCTTCAGACGGAACGATACCGACGAACCCAGCATGGCATGGTCTGCCCTGCAGGTAGATCGTGACGGGAATGGTGAGATGAATCAGATGGAGCTGCTAGGCTACATTGCAGATTTGTTCGTTACACACGCGGCAGTTTCGCAAAGAGAAGCTAGATTGGTCAAGCTGCTGCAGGGTCTCTGCGGAGATGTATCCAGACCAAGGTTCACGGCTTGCATGCGCCTTGTTCGGGATGTCGAGCTTCGAGCAGTGAACAAGTTGATCCAGGCAAGGGGGTCTGGAAAAATGGTCTTTGCTCGCCTACTCCGTTCCAGCATGCTGGCAGTCCAGACTTTGCAATACCGTGACCGAGCAAACCGAATCAGAAGACACGGCAGGCGGGGAGTGTCAATCGGTCGTTAAAATCCAAGTGGCTAATGGTGGCTACATAAGATGTCTTGGCAAGTCCAGCATTGTGCTGGTCCCATCAGCTGATCAACTTGAATCGGTGCCTGGAGGGGTAGCATCACGAGTTGCAGGAGGTGCACGGTGACGGCAGTGGAACGCTTGCCGCTGCTTGTCTCGTTTCTGAAGGACACGGAATAGGCCATGCCAGGTTCGGGAGACTCACGTAACGACAAAAACCACACTCATGCGAAGCTATACTCTGTAGCTCCTCTTTGATACAAGCACCGAAGACTCATACACTCCCCCATATATTGATGGAACAAAGAATTAATCAGTGAGCTCTGCTCCATCCTGCCATATCGTACCATCTTGCAGGGGGGTCTTCTGATCTTGTCAGTGCTACATGGCCTTGCTTAGAGCCACGAGCTAGGGTCTTCACTTCTGAAAACGTTGCGGCGGGGTGGCAGACAGACACCAACACAGGGTGACGTGCTTTTTTGTTGGAGAGACTAGACTAGACAACAGCCTGCGATGGTGCTCAGAATGCGTACATACTCACCATACGCACATGCATACACACATACAGACCTACATACATATTTACTTGCATTGCGGCCGCGATGGGCGACTGCACGCGAGTACTCGAGCATACGCACGAGTACGCTCGAGTACGCTCGAGTACGCACGAGTACGCTCGAGTACGCACGAGTACGCTCGAGTACGCTCGAGTACGCACGAGTACGCACGAGTACGCACGAGTACGCACGAGTACGCTCGAGTACGCACGAGTA